TAAATCGATAACCTTAACGAAAAGATTAGTGCTTATTTAAGAAGAAAAAGCCAAAAAAGCTAGTGGCGATAACCTCAGCTGGTATTAGTTGTTGTAAAGTATTTTAAACACATTAATTGCCAAGAAGCTGCCCCAAAAAGAAACCTCTAAACACCAGATCGCAACGGTAGTATTTCACCGAGGTAATTAGTTTTAGAATTCTTTTAACCCGTGTTTTAAAAGTATAGGTTAAAATTTTTTTTAATATTAATTATTATTAAAAAAATAAAATTTAATAATTATTTAATTAATTATCTAATTAAAATAATACACATTATATTAGTAATAACATTAATATTAATTTTATTATTTTTTATATTAATTAATATAAAAAATATATATTAATTACATCTTTAATACATATATTAGATAAATCTTTAGTTTTAAAATAAAATTAACTTTTATTTTTTTGTAATTAATTTTTTTAATTTGTATCTTAAAAATGTATTTATTACATATTTTTACCATTAATTTATATAAAAAATTATAAAAGTAAACTTAATTTCAATGCCACATAAAATAATTTAGTTAAATAGCTAATAAAATTAAATTAATTTTTTATTTTTATGTAAATTAATAATAAAAAATATAATAAATATATTCTTAATTTATATTATAATGGCACATATAAAAAAATGTCTATCATTGACCTCTGTTCATTTTTCAGTAAACCTAATTTCCTATCTATAGCGTGTAAATTTAATTATTTATTTTTTTAAATCTCTCCTCACCGAATTAAGGGTTTAAACTTAAAATTTCAAATTTAAAATCTCATACTTTTAGTTAATTGAGTCACCTTTAAAGATTATTTACTCATTTAATAATATATTTTTTTAATATTTATAATTTTAATGATATAATAATAATAATAATAATATTATTATTATTATTATTATTTTGTAAAATCAATTGTTAGCCTTGCAGGGAGCTCGTACCGCATACACAACCATCCCTCTGCACTATTTGAACAATGAAATTTGATTATAGTTTGTGAGAGAAATGACAATATATAGTGAATGCAAACAGATAAAACGTACAATAAAATCTTTTCTTGTTTCAATTATAGTTGGTGAATGGTAATTTTCATGATTCTACTTTTAACTGTATATATAGTAATTTTTAAAATCTCTCTTCATATTATTATGCATCATTCTCTACTATTTTTAAAATTTACTGTTGTTTCAATTGTAGTTGATGAACTGCCATTTTCATCAACACTTTCGGTGCCTCTGCTTCTCTCAAGGGGATTGTGATATCACAGCCTCATTGGCTCTTTTTTCATTGGTGCAGCATGTTTTAACTGCAGTTAGTGAAAGGTAATTTTCATGGCGCACATTTTCAATCGTATAGTCATTCACAAAGTCTCTGTTGACATTATTAAAC